TTAGTTGAATATAAATGCCTACAAAAGAAAAGGGAATATGCAGAAGCCATGCTGTCTTACTAACAATCTGTTCAAACAATTTTTATGTGTATACAGCTTGTAAACCAGAGAAATCCTGTCCATGAATACTGGGGGCTGTGGGAAATGTCATTTTTATGGTGAGGTTTAATGTGGGTGTTTCAAAGAAATACTGTGTAACTACCCCTTTACTGCTCCTTTGTGATTTTCTTCACTTCTGTGTTCACTGATAAGTTCCTCATACCCACTCTTTCACTTCACTTTACAACCCTGACATCCAGTATCCTTGGTCTGTCCCTTGAAAAACCTCAAGCCACCCTGTGGTTTTTTTATTTGGATTATCCCCATCTGGTAGTGACCATTCTCCCTATTTACCCTACTCTTTCTTTTCTTTTTTCATTATCCCTTCAAACCAGATCTTATCTTGGGTTCCTTATTCTTTTGTCTTTTTCCCACCTCTTAGTTGATTAAAACTTTCCAAGAGTTTAATGAATGCCCTTCTCTCATCAGATAACATAAACAAAGCATAGTTCTTTCATCTAGGTATATGTTGCTGGTACAAATTTTGCATACTGTGGAAGTCCTGTTATTCTGGTCTTTAGTCCTCTCAATTCTCTCCCTGAAAATGACCTAGGATTTCTTTTCCTATATTTTTCATCATGCCTGACTCAAAAAAAAAAAAAAAAAAGCTTTAATAGGTTCATTACTCTCAGAATAAAATTACTACTTTTCAAACTTTCAGGCTTTGAAGAACTGAAGTGGCTCATTTGTAACTTCTTTCCATATAAATCTATCCCAGAAATGACCCCTCTAAAATACTTTATCATGCTACATCTTACTCAAGGGACTCCATTTCTCCTAATGCCCTTGGAATTAAGTTACAGCTCTTCATTCCTTTTCAAAGCCCCTCAATATCTGGTATCACCTAACTTTCAAACATTATTTTCCATACTCTGCCAATTCTGACATGTCTTCAGCCAGTTTGTTTTCTCTTTTCTTTTACTTGAAATATTCTTCCTTTAACTTCCTCTCCTCCTTCTCACACTTTGAAAATACTTTAGGCATCGCTTCAACCTTGATTAAGCCTCATCTGAAGACTCAGTTTATACTCAGTTTATATATTCAGATTTTGTTTATAAATGATTCTATTTTTCTCATTTGTAACTGAATCAAATAATACCTTAATGTTTTAGATAGCCACTCCACAGCTACAAGAGTTGGTGAGCATATCCAAGTTGAAATAAACCTAAGATAGGATTCTGTAAGAGCAGCTGATGCCTAAATTTCCTGATTCTAAAATCAGAAACGAACGAATAAGTTATGGAGGGTCTTTAAATTGGGACTCAATACAGATGCTAAAACTATTGCTTAGAGTGCATGAAACCCAATTCTATAATGAGAAATGCAAAGTTTATGTATTATAATACCTCTATATGTACAATAAGGCCTAGGGCATTCAACAGCTTCTGACGTCATTCCCCACATCTTCCTTGAGAATGTTGAAGTATTTCTTATCCACTGGTTATAGGACACCCACACTTTCCTCTTGGAGACACATCTCATTTGATCTATTGTGACATGGCCGTTCTTGTTTCTTGGTTCTGATTACTAACTGTAAGTAGTTCTTAGTCTCCCTCAGTATTAGACTTGTTTACTCTAGAAATGGCTTTTTAGGGAAGAGTTCTGCCCTCCTATCATGAGTGTCCAGTGTTTGCCTGCCTTGTGTGAGGATTAAAATTCTGACTCAGATTGCTGTGCTATCTCTGTGCGGTGTGGCTGGCAAAGATTTTAAAGCCCGTTTTTAGGAAGAAAATCTTTTGAAAAGCATAGGCTTTGAAGTCAGATAGATTTCTAGTTCTAAATTTTCTCTGAAAGGGGGATGACAAACAAAATAACATTCCTTCGGTTTAAAGTTCACTTCTCTGAACCACCTCACCTATTAACTGCACCCAATCTAAATCAAGTTTTCTTGTTATAACATTTCTTTAAATGTGTTCATTTTCTTCAGAGCATTTGTATATTGTAGGTAACTATTAGACTGCTAAGATGATTTGTTGATCAGGGTATTTCTTCCCCCATCACAGGGTAGGGGCCACCAGAGCAGAGCTTGATTCAAGTTCACCATTACCTTTCCAACTCTAACATTGGCCCAACTCCTCAAATATTTGTTGAATGGGGACGAATACCTCATAAGGAAGGAAAATTAATAAAACATATAAAGTACCATATAAAGACTACAAAGCATATTCAGTCGGCCCTCTGTATCCTTGGGTTCCTCATCCTGAGATTCAACCAATTAAGGAAGAGAAATACTCAAGAAAAAAACCTACCTATTTAAAAAATATAGTATAACAACTATTTACAGTGTGTTAGGTATTGTAAGTAATCTAGAGATAATTTAAAGTATATGGGAAGATGTGCATAGGTTACATGTAAATACTATGCCATTTTGCATCAGGGACTTGAACATTCATGAATTGTGGTGTACTGGGGGTTCCTGGAACCAATCCCCACAGATACTGAGAGAAAACTGTGTATGTGTGTGTGTGTGTGTGTGTGTGTGTGTGTGTGTGTGTGTGTGTTCAGAGTACTATGCACATGGTAAGTATTCCATGCATGTTGACTTTTTAAAAACTCTTTCTTGAAATCTGAACTGAAAATGTCCATTGTTCTTGCACAGCAATGTGAACACTTCTTGTGCTATGTCACAAGAAGTCCTCTACTATCAGACAAATAATCGTAGCTAGATTAATCAGAACGTTTGTTGACACCTTTTCCACTGAAGCACTTGGTTAGGACCATGAAGCCTAGAGCCCTACCTCGCAGTGCTTTTCCTGTCCCCTAATGCTCAATACTCTCATTACATATCTGGTGATTTAGCTCACAGAATTGGAGCCCAGCAGGTCGAGCCTGCGGTGGCCGGGAGCGGCCACTGCACTCCAGTCTGGGCGACTGAGTGAGACTCCAACTCAAAAAAAAAAAAAGAATTGCTAAAGTCACATTTCCAAACCTGTCTTCTAAAAGTGACCATTTCTCCTTATACCAACCAGAATGGCTACAGGAAGAAGGCCAACATACCAGCACAATTAACTTCATGGAGCACCATCTTGTGTTTCAAAGTTGTTAAGTTTCATTTTACAAAGTTTTGTCTAGAAACTGAACAACTTTAGCAACAGGAGATAATCAAAGGTAACTGGCTAGATGAAACCTATATTTATGCTTCAGCCAATGGAAAGAATCTGACATGTTATGCCAGGTCACAGTAGGTATTCAACAAATCATTGTCAAATAAATTTGGGGAAAAGATATCTCAGTGGCTCTTGGCATTGATTTCCTCTTTTATAAAGAGATTCTGTACATAAATCCCTTTCCTGTCTTTGAGCAGGGTGTTGCAACTCTATGATTCTAGTAAAATCAGGGGCATTTTTTCACAGTCAAGACAAACTTTTACAATGGTTTTACACTACATTGACTACAAAAAAAAGGAAGAAACAAAAAGAGAAAAATGGAATGAAATTCCCGAATTACTGACTGGGAAAGGCCAGTTCCTTTAACACCGGAATGCAGAGGGGCTTGGCGGCTCTGGAGGATGAAACGCATAACTCCTCTTCCACTCCACGTTCTTGGTTGGGGACACCCTGAAGGTGAGTTTAGGGAGAGGTAAGAGGGAGTGGGCAGTTTCAAAATCCTCACATAGGTAGAAGCTGATGAGGAAATCAGACTGTAAAGACTAGCTATTGGGAGAGGAAATTCAACTTTGTCATCATGACTGTTAAGAAAAAAAAAAAAAAAAGGAAAAGGAGGCAGGGACCCCCCAAAAAACGAGTAGGAAAATGGGGCGGGTGGAGAGGGGGAAGGGACCAGTAAAGGAAAATCTAAAGAGAAAAGAGGGAAGAGTATGGTACACAATTTGTGTTTTCTCCATCTCTTTCTCTCTCACCCCCTCCAGAAACCGGGAAAAGTTTGCAAGCGCCGCTTTCGGGATCAAGGCTCTTCCCCTACAGAGGCGGGAAGAGAAGCGCCCATGTCACCCTTCCCCGTCCGCGCCGCTGCCCCCTCCCCTTCGCCAGTCGAAGGAGGGCAGCTGGCGACCCTCCTGGGAGCGGGGGCCCCGGCGCATCCCCTGAGCCCCGTGAGGCTCGTGCGGCACA